GTATTACGGTGAGTAAGCGGCAACATCGAATAGATCAGTTTTATGCAGCTATATCCTTAGGTCATGTGACAACCTAGAATATATTTGAGTTTAAATCAGTGCCAGTCGTTGCACATACTCTTTACTCGCACCTATTACGCACGGCGTGCTGTTCGAGCTCCCTCATTATTCTGTACAAGGCTTAGTATTTGTACAATCCAAGATTTGTAAGGTTCATTCTGACATTGTCCATCCATCTCGTTTTTTCTGGTCTCGGGTCTGCTGGTCTTTTAGCACTTCCATTAACAGAAGCAACTTTTTTAATAGGTTTCCTCTCCTATATTGTTGACCCAGCGCAAACCCTCTCCTAAATCTGGGTAATTGAAACAGTTTTCATTTGCGATTTAACCATGTCATTATAGCTGATCCATCATCGCGAGATTTAAAGTCCACGTAGTCCCAGTATTTTTCCATTCCACCTCCATATACTTGGTCTTCGTTGAGTCTCGAGCCGTGCCATTCCTAATTTTTCCATCTCTGCACCTCTTCTTCAATTTCTCTGCTCTCTGCTCAAGGAGAAGTGTTGCATAAATTTCAGCGATTCCGTTGCTTTAGGCCTTACTCTACTTCATGGGAATTATAGTTGCAGAAGCTCCCGAAGCAATTGTTGCTACCGTGACGGTAGATTATTTACATAAACTCTCAATTGCAACATATCTAAATACTAACCGTTGATGAATAGGTGTGCTTGACCCTAACAGCAGTAAAAATGCGGAAAAGAAACTGCTTGGTGAAGAACTTGGAGGCTGTTGAGACACTCGGATCAACGTCAACGATCTGTTCAGACAAAACTGGCACGCTAACTCAAAATCGAATGACCATTACCCATTTATGGTAAGGTTATTGGAAAAGTTTCTTGTGTAATTTTTAAAGCTTTTGCTCCAGGTGTGATGGAATGATAGACGAGGCTGAGCAATGTTTGCCAAATGGGAAAATGAGGGGTCGAGTGAGGCACAGAATGGAAGGAACATATAAGTTTCTTCTTAGGTGTGCTGCGCTTTGTAGTCGAAGCACATTCAAGGTCATTCCTATCCTTTGCAATTTTGAAAAAAAAA